CATCAGCACCAAAGCCGCGGCTGCCGCCCTGATGGGAAAGACACTCCACTGCACAGTGTCAGCCCTGAGCGGGTGCCAGGCACAGAGTGGGTGCGCAGCCAATGTTTGTTGAGTCAGTGAGTGACCGCAAGGACATCCTTCCCTTTTCATTGACCTGCCGCGCTCTCCACCAGTCTTCAAATAGCTACCATGAGCGCCATGTCCACGCTGATCTCCGCGGGCGCTGTCCTGGGGAAGGCCAACCTGGTGCAGCTGATGTTGATGGCGCTGATGGAGGTGACAGCCTTTGGCACCTTGAGGATGGTCAACAATCTAGTCCTCGCTGTGAGTGATGGCATGACAGGGGAACTTCGGGGGGAAGGGAAAGGGGGGGAAGGGCTGGGGGACCACCATCTCCATTGTGTGGGGCTTCTGGGCTTCTCAAAAAAAACGAGCGTCCCAAATGAGGTTAGAGAGTGTGGCCTGTGCCAAACATTTAAACCCAGCAAATGAATCCTTCCAACCTCCCAAACATGACACTGTAAGACGGTGCTGTTCGCAAGGCCACTCAGTAACGTAGCAAACAGTCAGTGATGTTCACAGCCCTAAAGGCAGCGGCGCTCTCTAGCTTTCTGTTCGGAATCTTCTTTCATGCTAGTCGGTGGGTTGGAAACTGCAAAGGAGGTCAATCGCCCTAGGAGAGACTATCAGAAGTCTTACCTTGGAGTCGTTCGTGAAGGTGAAAACCAGTCACAGTGCTGCCACGTCACTTCCGATTTACACCAGCTACAAGGTGTCAGAATAGAACTGGATAGGTTTTCTTTTCTTTCTTCTTCTTCTTCTAAGTGTTCTTGGTGAAAGTTTACCTAGCAGTTTAGGTTCCTGTTCAGCAATTTCTACACCAATCGCTCAGCAAATTTTCAATGACTGATTTTGGGGAACTTTAACTCCAGGTCTTTATTCCAAAGTACCTCTGGGTGGTCTGCACGTTTCCATTAGCAGCCAAGCTTATGACAGCAACACTCTCTCATTATCCAGCATTCTGCACTATGACCCTGGCAAAACACATGACCGAACTATGTCTGGCAGTTAGCAAAGGCTGAGGTGTGAAACAAGAGTAACGCGGGCCCGTCGTGGTTAAGGAGATGCGTCCACTGGCCGGGTTAAGATGCTTAGTGGTTTGGCAGTTACGATGTAATGCTGTGATTTGGCAGTTGTAAACTGATGTAGTCACCATCCATCTTGTGATCTGATGTGGTCATCCTCCACTTTCTTATAAGTCCGAATTTTGAATAACGACCTAGTCTTCGGAGCCTAACCTTGTGGAAAGCAAGAAGCGGCTGTCATACTTAGCATCACGCATGGACTCCTGTGGTGGTGAGGTCAGAGCAAATGACCCTCCCAGCTCCCCTGCCATAGCCCTGACCCAACATCCTCTTCTCTGAGGAGGAAGCCGGTGCCCAGAGAAGGGAAAGGTTGCCCAGGATCACACAGCAAGACAGTGGAAGAGCCCAAGTGGGAACGCAG